GCGGCGGGGGGCGGGGTGGAAGCCCGCAGCCTCCCTCAGGCTGGGTCCTCGTGCGGCCCCGCGGGCGGGGAGAGGGCACCGAGCTCGCCCTGGGCGGGGAGCAGATGTACCCCGTGGGGCCGGTCTCCTGCCCGCGCCACCACCCCGCTTGTGGCGCGGGGCTGTAGCCACGCGGGCCGCCTATCCCGGCTCAGCCGCTCCCAGCTGTCGGGTGGCCCAAACCGCGGGCGGGGGCGGTTTCTGAGCCTTGCGGGCCTGGTTCGGCAAGGCTGGAGCGCAGTGGGGCACGCCATGCTGGAGCGTTCCCCTGTCCATGGTGGGTGCGGAGCGGTTGTTCCAGCCTCTGCCGGTTAACCATAACCAGTAAGCATCTTCCGGTCAGGGTGATGTTTACAGGTAAACTATTCCCATCCTTAGTAGCATCTCAGGAGAGATTCAGGTGTTGCCCATCTGATTAGAAGAGCACTCACAGACAGCAGCATGTGTTTCTACTGGTGGTGCACATTCACACATGCCTCGATGTACATGAATGGAAAAAATTAGAAAGGATGTGTTACAGTGCAGTTAAGTTTGAGGATCCCTGCATGAATGGTGCCGCTAAGGAACTAATGAACGGATTAGCAAGTACTTTGAGTCTTAGGTTCCCATTTATTTTGCCAGTTCTAGCACTGACCCATTGGGCCAGTTTTTCAAATGTTATCTTATTGGGGGTTGGTGTGTGTGTGTGTATTTTTAGGGGATAGTTTGTTTTTAGAGGGACCAGTTTGGGATAGGTAAATTTATAGAATGAGCAAACTAGTGATAACAGAGAAAGTAACATGCTAATTAAAAACTCTCTGCTGATTAGCAACTGCTCAAGATTTAGGAGTCAGAGCTAGTTGTCTAAAGACATCTGCTCAATGCACAACAGCAGCTGGAAAAAAACACAATTCTAGGAACAATTACTAGAGGTATACCTAAGGTAGAAAATATAAGGTCACTACATAAACAGATAGTAGGGTGTTAAAATTTGTTTAATGTGGTTGCTGTGTAACCATTAAAAATTACACACAGTGGAGCCATCTCTGCAGGAGCAGAGCTGGCAGCCCTTGCCTACCCGCTCTCAGGGAGGAGGCTTTGCTGCCCTGCTGCAGCAAAGGCACTTGCTTGGAAGTAGGCTGAGTTTAACCACTAAGCATTATGAGTAGTGAAACAGGACCTCTAATCCCTGAGGATGCACTCAATGGTTCATGCTTTAGGGATAAACCATTATTGCTTCACCAGCTCTCACTGAACAAGGGAGCAAACCAAGGCATCCACCATGCCCGGGGGCTTCCTCCCCATCCAATGGGGATGCTTGAAAGAAGAAGAAAGAGTAAGGACTGGCCACCATTTGTCCAGACCTAAATTTGTCTAGCTTGCATTTTATTTTCAGTCAGTCCTGCTATAGGTATCCCTGCCATCCTCACTACTAATAGACAAACTGTTCTGGGCAGTTAGGGGCCTCCTTAGTCTCTTCTTTATTTTTCTTGAAACCTTTCCTGACAGGAAGTTCTTAAGGGTTTCTTCTCCCTCTAGCCCAAGTCCCAGCCTGTTGCTCCTCTCCAAGGAAAGTCTGTTTGCATATTCCTCAGCCGGATTGACAGCAGATGCTACCATGTTTGGCTGGTAACACTGGACCCAGATTTGCATATTTTCAAGGAGGCCATGTGCAGATTGTTCTAGGATCACCTGGTCATTATCTCTTCCGCCATTTCTGTATCTGGCCTTAGCCACCACATAGCCCAGTCAGTAAATTTCTGGGAAAAAGCTCAGGGCCAAAAATCTCTTGCCCTGTACAGCTCCAAAACTTCTACAGTTATTTTTCAGTTGATAGTTCAATCTGATCCAGGATTGTTCCCCCTTCTACACCTCATCACCTCATAATCTTTGGCCTGTTCATTAGTTAGTGCCAAGTAGGCAGCTGATGTGTCTCCAGTCAGATAGGTGGCCAGTCTGGGGAGCCCACATTGCCTTGTTTCATCCTGTGGGTGCCTATGGCAACCCATTCAAAAGTGCATGGAAAAGCTGTTTGGCTAGTATTAGAGCCCCAATCCTGAGGCATAGTTGCCATCACCTCCTGGGAACTTATCATCCAGTGCAAGAGTTTCTGTGGTACACTGATCTGCTCTCTTATGAAGTCTTGGAGGCTTTTCTGTTGCTTACCCTGCCAAGAAAATAAGGCCTGTATCTTGGCCTGATAAGATGGCTAAAAGTAGGATTTTTATATAGGGGCTTTTATGCATTTCAAAGATTGAAATGCTATATAGAACCCAGGGCTAGCAGCGCTTCCACTTTGAAATGTACAAGAGCCCCAGCTGGGGTCTCTTGTACATTTCAAAAGTGGAATGCTGCTGCTGTACCACTGCTCCCTACGGTGGAGCTGGGAGGAACTGGCTCTTAAGTTGGTTCCCCTCAATACTCCCTCCTGATAGAGGTGAGGGAGGAAGGGAGACTAGTTGACTATCCAATAAGCTTTTGCTCATTGATTAGTCACTTACATCCCTAAACTAGGGATGTTAAACATCAAGTAATTGAATAGTTGATGGATTTTGCATCGATTAGTCGATGGGGCTCTTGGGTGGCTGCTCTTGCTACATTTCAAAGCGGAAGCACCCTTATCAACTAATCAGTCCATGAAAATTCCATCGACTATTTGATTAGTTTATCTAAATTTAACTTCCCTAGTTTCCCACTATTTACAGGGTTTGGACTGACTAGCAAGACTAGTAGGCTCCTGCCTTCCCCTCCTCCTCTCTACCTCCCTTCTCTGTCAAGAGGCTTGGAGTCATGGGCAGTTCCTGGCAATCACTATTTACCCAGCCCCTGTCCATTCCCACTGATTGTTTGGGATGGCAGGAACTGATCAAGGACTTTCCTAGCAGTGACTTGCCACACATTCCATCCCTAGTTAACAGCCATTGATGGACTTACTCTCCATGAATATATGTAGTTCTTTTTTGAACCCTGTTAATGTCCTTGGCTTCACAAGGACATCTAGCAAAATTCCACAGGTTGACTGCATATTGGGGGAAGAAGTATTTTTTGTTTTGTTTTTTAAATCTGTCGCCTATTTCACTTTGTGTTCCCCTAGTTCTTGTGTTCTACAAAGGAGTAAATAACACTTCCTTATTCACTTTCACCACACCAGTCATTTTATAGACCATTATGCTTCTCCCCCAGTCTCTTTCCTGGCTTTCCTGGCTGAAAAATTCAAGCCATATTAATTTCATACAGAAGCTGTTTCATTTTTGTTGCTGTTTTTTCCTGTATCTTTTCCAATTCTATTATCTTTGAGATGGAAGGATCACAGCTGTAGGCATGTAGATATAGGTTTATCAGGGATTTATATTACTTCTGGAGGAATTCTGCTTCACAACACAATACAAAATTTTGCAGAAATGAATGCATTTTACTCAGAGCTTCCTTTTCTCTGAAGAAATAGACTGCAGTGCTGCTGGTCACCACTGTACCCAGCTTTCATACAGAAGATACTACTGGGGAGAGAGCTAGAGCAGGATTGGACAAATGATGGAGTCTGGGCTGTATTTGTTGGGCTTTATTCCAGTGCTTAGGATTACCAGTCCAGTAGCACAGTGGGGCTAATACATGTTCCCTGCCTCCTGGAAGCAGCTGGCATGTCCTTGCAGCTTCCTGTGGGTTGGGGTGGGGGAGAGAGGGAGAGGGTTCTGTATACTGCTCTCACTGGTAAGCACTGACCCTGCAGCTCCTATTCCCAGGAACGGGGAACCAACAGAAGCTGCAGGAACAGTAGCTGCAGTGACAGCACATGGAGCCACATGTCGCCCAGCCCTAGGAGCTACTGCAGGACATTGGTTTTCTGGGAGTCGTTTGGGATCAGGACAGGTAGGGAGCATGCCTTACCCCCACTGCACCATTGACTGGTTGTTGACTGAGGTAAGTGGCAGCCAGCCAGAGCTTGCACCTCAAGCCCCTGCCTTAAACATCCTCCTGCACCCTTCTGGCACCACAGCCCTCTCCTCCAGCCCGTATTCGTGGTTCTCCATAAATGATATGGCCCTCAGGCCAAAAGGTTTGCCCATCCTGGCAGTTGCAGCTCCCCACATGCTTTGAGGGAAGGAGCAGGTGGTGTGCAGGAAACTCTGTGCAAGCCCAGGACTGAGTATCAGGCTGTTTTTCCCTCTATCTCTGGGCTCCAAAGGGTAAAAGGGCAGGTGTCTGGGCATGAATGAGTGGGAGGGGAAGAGGGGAGGAGAGAGGAGTCCTTCAGCAGGGCTCAGAGGGGGTGAAAGTTAGGATTGAGTGGCTCCCCAGCTGGACTGTACACTGGCTTGTCAGAGTTCTTTAACTCTCTTGAGAAATATTTGTCTGTATTAGGCATGTTAAAATTAGATGGACTTTTAGTTGACTCTTTGATTAGTCAGTAAGGGCACTTCCACTTTGAAATGTAGCAAGATCCTGCCAGTTCTGCATTCCGCCTTTGGAATGTACAAGAGCCCCGGGGGACTCTTGTATATTTCAAAGGTGGAACACTGCCACTGTGTCCCTGCCCCTGCCACAGAGATGGAGTTTGGGGGAACTGGCTTCGAAGCTGGCTCCCCCCCTTGCTGCTTCTTTCTGATAAAGGCAACGAGGGAAGTGACTAGGTGACTATCTGGTGAGCTTTTGCTTATCTGATAGTGGACTAGTAAATTAATCACTTATATCCCTAGTCTGTATTGTTTCAGACGTTTGCTGACAGGTATTTTACTGAAATAACTGAAACTGGTGTGACTGGCAGAATTTTGCAGAACTTTACAATATTGTGTGCAGAACTAAATTTTTTGCATAGAATCCCCCTAAGAGTAAATTATACAGAAGCAATGGAACCTTTTCGTCTTCTGTCCCTTCCCTAATGATTGTTTGTGTTTTTGACTGCTGCTGCATGTTGAGTGGATGAGAATCGTCCATGGTGACTCAATCGTTTTTAATAGCGATAGCTAATTTAGGTCTCATAATTTTTATACATAATTGGGGTTGTTTTCCAGTGTGCATTATCAACATTTAATTTAATTTTGTTGCTCAGTCATCTAGCTTTTAGATCCCTTTCTAATTCTTCATAGTCTGCTTTGGATTTAAGTATTTTGAGTAGTTTTATATCTTCTGCAATTCTTGCCATGTCACTGTTTATTGCAGTTTCCCAGATCATTCATGAATATGTTGAATAGTTCTGGTCCCAGTACAGAGCTGTGAGGACACAACTATTTACCAGTTACTGATCCATGAGAAGAGGATCTTCTTGCCTATCCCAGGCAGCTCACTTTGCTTAAGAGCCTTGTCGAAGGGAAGGGGCCTTGTCAAAGGCTTTCTGAAAATATAAGTACACTATATCCACTGGATCCCTGTTGTCCACATGCTTGTTGACCCCCTCAGAAAATTCTAGTAGATTGGTGACATTTTGACTTTTTCCCCTCAAAAATCATGTTCACATGTCCAGGGCTCGACAAACCATGGCGAAATCCGCCCATGCGCCTGCCCTGCTGGTGAACAGGGTGCCCAGCTAAAATCTATTCACTACGGGTGAGTAGATAAATGGTTTTGCTGAGCCCTGCATGTGTCTGTCCTTGAGGATAGCTTAAACCAGTTTGCCCATACTGAAGTCAGGCTTAATGGCCTGAAATTGCCATTATAAACTCAGGAGCTTTTTAAAACAATTGGCCTTTAATATTAGCTCTCTTCTAGTCATCAGATACAGAAGCTGGCTTAAATGATAGGTTACGGGCTATTTGAGTTCCTTCAGAACTTGCTGGTGAATATAATCTGGTATTGATCAGTTTGCTCTAAACCCACATCTAATGACACCTTAGTCTTGGACAGTTCCTCAGATTTGTCACCTTAAAAAAACAAAAAACTTAGATTTAGGATTCTCCCTCACATCCTCAACCATGAGTTTCTTCACAATGGCCTTACCATCCCTGAGAGCTCCTTTTCGCATACAGGCAGTACCCAGGTTACGTCAGTCCGACTTAAGTCGGCCCCGTAGTTACGAACAGGGCGAAGGGGGGGTGCAGCTAGTACTAGGTGCCTCCCCCACTGTCGCTGCCTCCGGCGGCGTGGGGGGCACTTCCCCCCAGCAGACCAGGGAGACGCAGAGCGGCTTTTCTTGCTGCGGAGGACGCGGGCGGCAGAACTGTCGAGATGCGCCGTGGTCCCGCCGCCCGTGTCCTCTGTGGCAAGAAAAGCTGCTCAGTCTCCCTGGTCTGCTGTGGGGGAGGGGCGCAGCTGGTGCCTGAATTGATTGTCCAGTGGCCCGCTGGTTGTTTAGCCAGCTTCCTGCTTCTGATATACATAAATAAAATTATTACTTTTTGAGTCTTTGGCTAGCTATTCAATTGGTTTTGGCCTTCCTAATTGTATTTGTGTACTACATAAACTGCATTACCAACTCTCCCTGCTCCTTCCTGCCTATACGGGGCTAAGAAGATAGTACAGTAGCTCCAGCTTTCTTAGTTGGAGCACTACCTTTTGTAGCATAAGTGTATTAACGTGAAGTCAAAAGATTGTAGGGGGGGGGGGGTAATTCCTGAAATTAAATATGTATCTAAGCATTTACCTGGCATTCCTTTCCCTCCATTAGTCTTGCCCAGACTTGACTGGCTGGACTGTGGAGTCAAATCTGGTACAGGCTCACTGAACAACTGTTCATCCAGTCATCTGTCTCCGTACACCACCACCACCTTGCGCAAATTACAAGCCCTGGAGATTATGGCAGTACTAGAGACATTTTTTCTATTGGGCCATTGACCCACAGATAAATTGGGGTGAAGGGCTACATAAGTACATATTTAAAAGAAAGAACTTAACTAAACTAGCGTGTAGTCAGGACTGAATTAACTCTTTTGGGTCTTTGGTCTTCTAGATTTTTGGGGTCTTCGGTTTTTTTGGTATCACTTAAGTTTTAGGGTGAGACTGAAAATGAGGGGTTCATCATGTGTGTGGAGGCTACAGCCTGAGGTGAGGGAGAGGGTTATGACTGGGGGTGTGTACTTGGGGGATGTGGCATCTGGGGTGCAGGAAGGGGCTCCAGACTGGGGCTAAAGGTTTTAGAGTGTGAGAGGAGGCTCAGAACAGGATGTTGGGGTGGAGATATGGGGTCTGAATGGGACTTAAGATGGAGGGATCTCAGGGCTGGGGTCGGGGAGACTGGGGATTGGGTTCAGGGTAGGGATGTTAAATTTAGTTTAATCAACTAATTGACTAGTCTAGTAGTTCTCTTCCATGCAGACAGTGCTTATTGGATGTTGACTAGTCGCTTAATCCCTAGTTTGGGGCATGTACTGGGGCAGCTCCTCTTTGGTGGTGGAGGCAAAGCAGGTGGCCCTGTGTTTGCTTGCAGATTAGGGATGTAAGTAACTAGTTGACTAGTCGACATCCCAATAAGCCTGGGCTTACTGAGTAGTCGAGTCAACACTCAACTAGTTGTTCTGCCCCCCCCCCCCCCCGCTGCCTCGGTAGTGGGTGGAGCGGAGGAGGAGCCAGCTAAAAGGTGCAGGCACAGCAGGAGAAATGGCAAGAGCTGGGACTGAGCAATTGCCTTTCATGCTTGATCCCAGATGCTGCCTCTGCTTTTTAAGAGCCCACATTTTAAAAAACAGCTGCTGCATCTGGGTCTTGGTTTGAGCTGGGACCCACACATTGGGCCTCTGTTGGTTTTTTTATATGTAGTAAGATCCATCAGGCTCTTACAACATTTTAAAAAACAGAGGCAGAATGAACCCCCTTATCGACTAATCAATGGAAATTCCATTGATTACTTGATTAGCTTTCTAAGCACCATTTAACATCTTTAAGCACCATTTAACTGCCCTACAGCTCCCATTGGCTGGGATTCCTGGCCAATGATATCTGTGGGGGCAGAGCCTGCAGGCAAGGGCAGCAGGAGGAAGTAGCTTCCTGCAGCATCACAGCTCCAGCCCTCCACAGGGATTGGGAGGGGGAAGAGATGGTAGTGCATTGAGCTGCTTCCACCAACTCTCATCTCCTTGCCAAGCAGGGACAGATAATTGGCAAAGGCTTTAGTGCCTGCAGCTCTAAGAACACTGAATTAGTTATTTTTTACTGAAAGCAAAGAATAACTTATTAATTGGAAATTCCTTAGGGCAGGTTGAGGCAGAAACTAATGATCAGAATTGGAATTTTGTAAGAATTCTGGGTCTGTTCTGCAAAAAGACATTTGGATTTAAGTAGTTAGACTTTGATTTATTGTTACATTTTACATCAGTGATAGTTGTGAATTTCAATAGATACCTGTTTCCTTTATTGTAACACTGGAAGAATAACATTGCAGTTGTGTTTAACCTGTTCTGACTTCTTTTGATACATAGTGATATTGATCTATAGAACATGAAACTAACCAGATTCTTAAAATCTGGCTATACTGTTATAAACTTGGATTTTTTAATTTTTTAAGTAATCTCATGGCTTAGTGACACTTGGAAAATGTCAGAAACATACTAGCTGGATATTAAAAAGGGCTTGCCTATATAGGTGAAAATTATTTGTCTAAGCACTAATTGTTCCCATCAATCTTAGTGCACTTTTAATCAGCATACTTTGATTGTCAATGGAGCAGTTGGTGGGAGAAACCACAGAATTTATAGGGCAGATTGCAGTTGTGTATCAATCAGCTAACTCTGAGTGCCTCCAAAGATGCATTTGCTATTGGCCCAGTCCATATAATCTTAAATAGCTCTCTTGGGTTTTGAACCTCCTTAGTTGCACTAACAATCTTTTCTCTGTTCCTTTCAGTCACACCTCCGCCAGTGTCCATTTTTCATGGTCTGTTCCTCAGGTCCACAGCCAGTGATTCCATTGTGGATTGCTAACTGACACTTTGTGCTTTGCCTTCTACTATACCATTGCAAAGTATCCCCTGTCTCTTAGCCATGCCTGAAGACTTGAGTTCTATGGGGATGCTCATGATTTTCCAGCTGCAAATCACATTATGAGGAACAGCATCTGGCTCATCAGAGCAAAGCTGTCTGTCATAGACTTTCAAATGATATTTCTAATGGTCTCTTGATTTTCCTTGTTAAGATTTGAGGAGTCTTGACTGAGGAAGTGTAATTGAATTGAAGGATAAAGAAGGTGGAGGCTTCTCATCTTATTGAGCTGTCACCAGTGACATCTTAAATTGAGGGCCAGTCTGCCAGTGTTCCTTCTAAGATTTCACAGCTGAGAGTGGAGTGATGCACCAACATTGACATCATGTGTGTCTTTGGATGTGCGCCACCATGGCACCCACCAGTTACTTTTTACACTCACATGCACAATTATACCCTGTGGTACAGGAATCGGGTACAGGGGGTGGGAGGTACGGGGTGGCTCAGGGGTGCAGGATTCAGGGCAGGGGGAACTAAGGAACATGGGCTGAGAGATCAGAGATTCCCTGAAATCTCACTGGAGTGAGACTGGAGCTGGGCTGTTGGTTCTTCTGGGGGGCAGGCCCAGGACTGGGCTGCCCCCCTTCTCCTCCAGGAGCTGCTCATTGAGGGAGAGCCGGGCTGGGCTGCCCGGCTCCCTCAACTGGTGGGCAAAGGGCAAGCTGGGGCTGCACTGCCCAGCTGGCTGGCCGGCAGCTCCTGTGGGAAGGGTGCCAGGGCTGCTGGCTGGCGGG